GACCTGGAGATTAACAGTCTCCACAGTCTTCATCTTCCTCTTCAGCTCCTCGATCAGTTCGTACACGTATCTCTCCACCTGCTGACTCTGCCTGCACACAGACACAGTGTGATGGACACACACAGACACAGTGTGATGGACACACACAGACACAGTGTGATGGACACACACAGACCAGAAGGACCAAATCTGCAGTTCCTCTAACGTCCAGCAGAGGCAGCACTGACTCAGTCCCCATAGACTCCCATGTTAAACATGTTTACAGCCTGATACAAACTGTTTGGTGTCTAAAGATCCTTAAGGTTTAAAGTTGACATCATAAGGGGCGTGGCCTCTTTGGAGTCCCTGAACTGGACCTCTGGACCACGTCTGTACTGTTGGAGCCTTTTGGAGCATTTTTAGTGACATCTGACCAACAATAAGACTGCTGTCAGGTTGCTGTGGCAACACACCGTCCATCAAGGCTGAGCTCCAATATTGGCTACTGAGCAGTAATATGCAGGTATCTGTGTGATGCACTAACCTCATGTCAGTAAAGAGAAACCATCACAAACATCACAGAAGTCACAGTTTTGTGTCTGAATATTGTCATATTCACTTTTCTTGTGATCTTACATCTGCTGCTGAGCCTGATGATTAATATATGTAAATATGGGTTTTCCTACAGCTGAACTTCTGCTTGTTGCTTTCATTTGTTTGTGGGAGTCTTTCCTCTGACTTTATCGTCACCAAGTTCTTTATTTTTCTGTGTCACAGTCTAACAGCTGGATATTTACAGCAGTGGGTGAGCAGCTCGACACAGCTGTAGAACTGTGACTCATGTTATATAAATGCAGCCTTTCACATGTCAGTGTTACTGTCAGTGTTACTGTCAGTGTTACTGTCAGTGTTACTGTCAGTGTTGCTGTCAGTGTTACTGTCAGTGTTGCTGTCAGTGTTACTGTTAGTGTTACTGTCAGTGTTACTGTCAGTGTTACTGTTAGTGTTGCTGTCAGTGTTACTGTCAGTGTTACTGTCAGTGTTACTGTCAGTGTTACTGTCAGTGTTACTGTTACTGT